CTTTCCTTTCCTTTCCTTTCCTTTCCTTTCCTTTCCTTTCCTTTCCTCTCCTTCCCTTCCTTCTCTTCCTCTTTCCTCTTTCAAATAAAAAAAAAATACCAGTTTTTTTAAAGACAGAAATCTCTGTGTGATGACCTCGCACCAACCGACGTTTACCTGAATGAAAGTGGCCAACAACACACAACTCATTTCTTGCTCCAGAATGATCTTGTTTTGTGGGTTATTGTAACAAGCGGCAATTAGTGTCGGAAAGAGGATTTTGATAAGCCGAGGGTCACTGAAATACTGGAAAGGCAACTGGCACAGCTTCTGCAACACAGTGGGATGGCGGCCGGACTGCACAATTACCTGAAAAAAAAACACAGAGAGCACCATGTTAGAGCCAGCCGTGCTGCAAGATTTCTCCGCTCACCTGGAAAAGGAGTTAAAAACAGGTTATGAAGCCAAGAAGCGTTTGTATTAATTGAGACAAACAACAATAAGAAAACTACATGGTTTTATTTCAATCGTCCATCCAGCTACTTTTTATGTCCGATACTTACAACGTTACACAATAAGAATCTTATGGAAAATACGAACTTTGTGATTCTTTAGTAACAACACAAAAAGGCAAAAAAAAAAAAAAGAGAGAGAGAGAGAGAGAGAAACTTATACACGGAGAAAACACGTGTAAAGTTGGAGCAGCTGTGGTAAAAGACTAAGGAAAGCGAAGATCTTGGGACATATCTCTGCTCCTAATAACGTGCTTTTGGGGACACCCAGAAAAAAAATAGTGAACCACCTAAACATGGAAAAAGAAAGAATGTGTGCTGCATGCAGTTGGATTCTGAGCAGCAGCGGAATAAGATCCTCCCATTAAGTCTCTTTCAGGGGGGGAAAAAAAACAACTGGATTTCTATTAATGCCTTTGACAGGATTGTTTAGATAAATGGAACTGCTGTCAGGCAGGCAAACTTTAGAGGAGAAGTTATGCTAAGCGCTTGCTCGTTTCTTCCGGAGAAAATATCTTCGGTTATTTAATTCCACAAAATCTTGATAATAAAGAAATGTGGACGATATCCGCTGAGGGTCAGGGGACACACAGGAAGATTATAGCCACAAAATAAATAAATAAATTAATAAATGAGGATGAGGATGATGAAGTGGAGGATGCTACTCCATGACAAAAGAACTGTTTGACCCGTACATGACTTTCTCGCCTCCAAAGAAACTCCTCCAATTTGCGGACGGTGGTAGCTTTTTCTAAGGTCGCTAAATCAGAAAAAACAATAACTGCGTGTGAGGCAGGACCAAGGTGCCCTCCAAATTAAAACCAGAAGGTCAAAAAGGGAGAGAGAGAGAGAGAGAGAAAAAAAAAAGAGAGAGAGAAAGAAATGGTTAAGAGGCCAGAGGAACATAAATTACAGGGATTTACAAGTTTCAAAGAACTTTTAACCATTCACTAAGAACACATTCTCGGTTCATAATGCAGTTCAGGTCAAGCACAGGATTGACAACGCAATAGTTCACATTTTTTAGTTCAATAGCGAAAATGAAATCGAAAACCTTCCAGGGAAGACAAAGAGGGAACCCTTAAGTCTTCTAAATCCAAATGGAATTTTAAAGACACCGTCTCTGCCCTCCGTGCCAGGCCAGGCGTTGTGGCTTTGAATGACGCCCCGCCCTCAAAAAAAACCCAACAAAATCCCCCCAAAAAGCAGGATTGCAATTAAAGTCCTAATAGTCTCCAAGAGACACTTTAATCATTATGGTCAGCTTTATTTGATGTGGTTTGTTCTTGCTGAAGGTGTGCGTTGCTTGTATTCATGAAAACAAAGTACACAAAAGTTGTGGTTTTTTTAATATATTTTTTTTAAAAAGCATTTCTTTTACAGATTTTTCAATGGTAAAAATTACCCCCCGACAAATGTTCCAAACAAGCTTGCTATGTGCCCGAACACCTCGCAACATTCACAAATTTTAATTCTGAAAACCCAACCCTTGGCTTCTTTTCGAGGGTCTTCCCAAAAATAAAAATAAAATAAAAATAAAGCCGCTTACAAGGAAAATTCATATTTTGAAATTATCCTTTGCAAAGTCACATCTAACCTTGGGATAGAGAAGGTTATCATTAACCAAGGGATACGGAGCTGCCTCGATTCCTCTAAGTGTGCAATAATTGTCCTTTGTCTGACTCAAGGAAGTGGAATTCAAAATAGCCACTTAAAATGTTTTCTTTATTAATGGGCTTGCTTTGGTTTTTTGTTTGTTTGTTCGAAGACCGCAAATCTATCGATCTTATTAAACAAACCAACAAGCAAAGCAAAAGAGGGCATGGATGCTTTCTGGCCACATGGCTGAGAGTGGGTGAAAAATAAGATTTGTTCTAGAAACTGTTGCCCATTGCTCCTTATTTTTTGGAGGGGGAAAAATAGTTGAAAAACAATTTCGCTGGTGGCTTTCGCAGATGAGGAATGCCACCTAACCTGACAATTGCACGTGGAAATAGGTCCAATGTTTCTTGAAACAAAAATAACGTTGGGTTCCCGTAGAATCCTTTCGGAATCCCAGGAGGATCATTGGAAGAATTTTTTCCTAATGGATGGAAACTACTGGAATCAAGGAGAGAAGCAATCTAGAACTATGGAGAAATTTCCTGATATTTAGAACAATTAGCCAGTGGAACAACTTGCCTCCAGAAGTTACGAATGCTCCAACACTGGAAAAGTTTTTAAGAAGAGATTGGAGAACCATTGGTCAGAAATGTGATAGGGTTTCCTGCCTGAGCAGGGGGTTGGACTAGAAGACCTCCAAGGTCCCTTCCAACTCCGTTATTTTATATTATATTCAAAACCTTGCATGGTAAGAACAATTTGGAAAATGGTTGGTTCGAGAAACATTTTGATTTTTCCCCAAGTAAACCAACTAACTTCAAGGGGGGGTCAGATTTGGACTCAACAGGCCTGATCTTTGGTTTATATTACATTTTTTAAACAAACAAAGCTTGTAAGGCCCCTCGAAAAGGCCTAATTCCAAGTCAATGGAAAAGTCAACGAAAAGGCCGACTTCAATTCCTTCATGGTCGATGCCGATTTGGGACGAAAAGGTCTTATTTTATGCTTTGTATATTCCTGAATGAAAAGCAGCCTCTCCAGTTGGACCCTTCTGCCTGTTTTTAAGAATACGGAAGGTTTATTTCTGTGTTCCTCACCTGGTTGGCTGAAAAACCCGCGGAGACGCAGCGGAGCGGATCCACGCCGTTTCTTTGTGGTTCCGAGAACACAGCCCTGGCGCGAGAATTGCGCTCGGATTACGGGGTTTCTGATTGGTGGCTTATAAATTGCCCTTTTTGTGCCAGACCCAGAGTGCAACAAACGTTAAGTTGGCACTTCGGAGAGATACGTTCAAGCTCCGGCTTGTTGGTATCTCCAAAATCGCTCTTTCCGTACAACAATGAAACTCGGAGCCAACTTTTAAATGTCGTAAGAGTAGGAAAAGCCATACATGAAGAGGGTGGCTCCATCAAGAGCCAGGGAAAAATAGGAGGGATGTCCAACAAGGCAACCTTCTTGATGATCTCTGGCAGGATCTGCTGCCCCAGAAGACCTCTTCCTTCTTCTGGAGGAATAAACTTATTCACAAGTTTGGATGTGAGCAGCCGTAGTGGCATCTCCCATCTGTTGTTTTTATAGTATTACTTCATCTCCGCTTTCATTTTCTCCTTCTTTCTTAGAAGGCTTATTTGAGTTTTAGGGTTTTTTTTTCACCCAACCCTAACAGGCAGGCAAAGCCACGAACCTGTAGGAAGCTCCAGAAATATTTTATGGAATCTCCGCTACTGAATCCTGGCTTACACGATAGAGAGAGTGAGGATTAAACTACCGGCTAGGAAAGTGTATTGTTGGTCCCCGAAATGGGCCGCTTTTTAAGCGAAGTTCTTAACTACTTTTTGTTAAAAGTAAAAGGTTTTAAACCTCACCTCTTAAAAAAGGTTTTCATTTTTTATGTTTAATGCTTTTAATGCTTCAATTGTTTCATGTTGTTGCTTTATGATGTTGTAAGCCGCCTAGAGTCTCGGATGGTGAGATGGGCAGCACGTAAGTTAATAAAAATAAAATAAGATAAGATGAAATAAAATAAGCGCAGGTAACCCTCAACTTACAACGGTTCATTTAGTGACCATTTAAACTTACAACAGCACTGGAAAAAAGTGACTTATGACTGTTTTCCCCACTTGTGACCACCACAGCCTCCTCATAGTCATGTAATCAAAATTCAACTGGCAACTGTCTCATATTTATGACAGCTGCAGGGTTCTGGGATCATCACCTTTTGTGACCTTCTGGCCAGCACAGTCGAAAGGGGGAAGCCAGTTTCACTTAACAACTGCAGTGGTTCTCTTAATGACGGAAAGTTGTAAAAACGGGGAGGGGGTCGAAACTCACTGAACAAGTGTCTCACTTAACAACAGAAATTTTGGGCTGCACTGCAGTCATAGGTTGAGGATTACCTGTAAAACAAAATAAGGTAAAATAAAATAAAAGAATGAAATGAAATAATAGCAATAGCACTAGAGACTTCTGTACCGCTACACAGTGCTTTACAGTCCTCTCTAAGCGCTTCATAAAATTAAATATAATAAATTAAATTGAAAAAAACCATAAAAAAATAAAATTAAAAATAACGACATGAAGTAAAATAAAAAGGAGAAACACGCAGGTTTCCATCCGACTTGTGTTCTTTTCCTAGGTCTGCGATTCTCCCCCCCCCCCGCCAACCGTCTCAGGAATGCTGGTGTGTGTGTGTGTGTGTGTGTGTGTGTGTGTGTATTTTTTAAAAACGTTCTAGGAGACCCCCGAAGGACCACACTCAACATCTGATAAGGTGGGACTGTGGGGTGATAACTTGCCTTGACCGACAATTACAGGAGCCCATCCACTGGAAGCCAAAGGAGTTGAGTGCCTGGGGGGGGGGGAGTGGGGGGGTCGGTGTTTTTTCCTGAGGGCACCACGGGCCCTTTAACCATTTCGATGCTTTTAGGTGAGGTTATTTATTACTCCTTAAAAGAGAGCCTTCCTCCTCCCTCCTCCTCTTTCTTTTATGTCTTCTATTTCTCCTCTTCCTCCTCCTCCTTCTATTTCTCCTCCTCTTCCCCCTCTCCTTTTATTTCTTCTCCTCCCTCTCCTTCTCCCTCTCTTCCTCCTCCTTCGATTTCTTCTATTTCTCCTCCTCTTCCTCCTTTCCTCCTCCTCCTTCTATTGCTCCTCCTCCCCCTCTCCTTTTATTTCTCCTCTTCCTCCTCTCCTCCTCCTCTCCTCCCTCTCCTTCTCCCTCTCCTCCTCCTCCTTTTATTTCTTCTATTTCTCCTCCTCCTCTCCTCCCTCTCCTTCTCCCTCCTTCTTCTATTTCTCCTCCTCCTCCTCCTCCTCCTCCTCCTCCTCCTCCTCCTCCTCCCTGTGGGAAGCTCTGGAATGCACCTTCTCCAGCTCCCAAATTAGATCTGCATTATTTCTTTGCTACTCTATAAACAAATCCAGGGGCTGTAGCCATTTAATCAGAAGGATATGTCATCTGGGTGTGTGTGTGCGTGCGTGCGTGTGTGTGTGTCAAACTCTTTGCCCATCTGTTTCCCCAGGTTTAACATTTAGAAAAGCTTTATGGGTTTTCTTTTTTTTTGAGGGGGGGTAAGGAAAAGTAGAGCTTCCACCCCCCAAAGGAAGGAATGAAGGAAGGAAGAAAGGGAGGGAGGGAGGGAGGATGGAAGGAAGGAAGGAAGGAGAGAGGGAGGAAGGAAGGAAGGAAGGAAGGAAGGAAGGAAGAAAGAAGGGAGGAAGGAAGGAGAGAGGAAGGAAGAAGGAAGGAAGGAAGGAAGGAAGGAAGAAAGGGAGGGAGGGAGGATGGAAGGGAGGAACGAGGGAGGATGGAAGGAAGGATGGAAGGAAGGATGGAAGGAAGGAAGAAGGGAGGAAGGAAGGAAGGAAGGAAGGAAGGAAGAAAGAGAGGGAGGGAGGGAGGATGGAAGGAAGGAGGGAGGCACTACCATAGCAATAGCCCTTAGACTTGTATACAGCTTCACAGGGTTTTTACAGCCCCCTCTAAGCAGTTTACGGAATCAGCCTCTTGCCCCCAAGAATCTGGGTCCTCCTTTGACCCACCCCGGAAGGACGGAAGACCATCGTTGCCACATCAGGCCCACCCTTGAATGATGTTGACTGATCCACTCCCCGCACGTTTATGAACGATGCGTTTGCGCAAAACAAGAAGCGGAACGAAGGCATCCCGGCGTAAACTTTCGTGGGACGCGTCCCCATGGACTGGCGCTCTCGGCCCAGGATCCCAAATCTCAAGGATAGCTGCACACACACACACACACCCCACCGCAGGGTATGTCAAAATTAAGCTGGGTAAAACAACCAAAACGGGTGACACCTTTTCAACGGTTGCCTAGATAGTCATCTTAATCCAATTAAAAAGGATATAAACAAGCCTACATTGGAAACAGATAATAAACAAGCTTTAAGCCAAAGGTTGCATGACTAACAGATGTAAGTACATCTACAGCGAGAGGGTGGGGAGGAGTGGAAAGGTGGTGTATGTGTGTGTGTGTGTGTGTAAGACTTGGAAAGAAGGGAAGACGCAAAAACACTCACTTCCCTTGGCTGTGTCCGTAGACCAGGGGTCCCCAAACTTGGCAACTTTAAGATTTGTGGACTTCAGCTGGTCAGGATCGAACTCCAGATTGTGGGCAGAGCTAGCCTGCAATGTTGCATTCTAACCACTGGGAAGGAAGGAAGGAAGGAAGGAAGGAAGGAAGGAAGGAAGGAAGGAAGGAAGAAAGAAAGAAGGGAGGAAGGAAGGAAGGAAGGGAGGGAGGGAGAAGGAAGGAACAAATGAAGAAGGAAGGAAGGAAGAAGGAAGGGAGAAGGAACGAAGAAAGAAGGAAGAAGGAAGGAGGGAGGGAGGGAGGAAGAAGGAAGAAAGGAAGGGAGAAGGAAGGAACGAACAAACGAATGAAGAAGGAAGGAAGAGAGAAGGAAGGGAGAAGGAACGAAGAAAGAAGGAAGGAAGGAAGAAGGGAGGAAGGAAGGAAGGAAGGAAGGGAGGGCGGGAGGGAGAAGGAAGGAACAAATGAAGAAGGAAGGAAGGAAGAAGGAAGGGAGAAGGAACGAAGAAAGAAGGAAGAAGGAAGGAGGGAGGGAGGAAGAAGGAAGAAAGGAAGGGAGAAGGAAGGAAGGGAGACTGAAGGAAGGGAAAAGGAAGGAAGGAAGGAAGGAAGGAAGAAAGGAAGGAAGGAAGGAAGAAGGAAGGAAGGAAGAAGGAAGGGAGAAGGAACGAAGAAGGAAGAAAGGAAGGAAGGAAGAAGGGAAGAAGGAAGGATGGAAGGGAGGGAGGAAGGGAGGGTGTGGGGGAATGGAAGACTTGGAAAGAAGGGAAGATGCAAAAACACTCACTTCCCACTTCTCACCAGGGGTCCCCAAACTTGGCCACTTTCAGACTTGTGGACTTCAACTCCCAGAATCCCCCAGTCAGCATAGCTTAAAGTTTGCCAAGTTTGGGGGCCCCTGGTTTAGATGAAGACAACAGGTGGGGTGCAGAGCTCAAAACCAAAACGAAGAACCAGATGCCAGATCTATTCTCATGGCCTTCAGAGTGGATTGCGGTGCTTCAGCCGAGCTGGAAAAGCAGCTCAGCTCACCAGCACTGACACCGAAAGCGCCTTTTGAGCGCTGGTGCGCACGCGGGAAGCGCTCTCTCGCGGAACCGGTAGGGGAAAAAAATTGGAATCCCACGACTGCCGGCGTGTCCATTTTTTTTTTTTTTTTGCTGGCCAAGGCTTTTGGCAAAGGTGACCATAGCCAAGAGGGGTGCAATCCCCCGCTAGGCTCCAATTAAAGCCCTCGCCGCCGAAAACGGAGTAAAACATATACGCGGTGGGGGAAAAAAAAGGAAGAAGAATCCAGCGAGTTTACACGATGGATGGCGCAAGGAACGAAGGTGTTACGGAATCGAAGTGGTCCCGCTCTCAAGAGTTATAATTCGGGGTAATGCCCGGTGCCGAACAACTGTGCCCCCTGCCCGCCCCCTGACTCCCCACAGAAGTCCCAGTAGTTCCACTGGCACCGAGTGGTCCAATTAAAACTACTCCCTTGTAAAAAATAAAATAAAAAATGAATATGCAAAGGGTTTTTTTTTTTCTGTCTGTCTTTGCTCTTTTTTTAGAAATTCCCAATGCGGCGATACAGAGGAAACAGGCCCATTTGTCATTCATGTTAATTTAATTATCAACTGTCCAATATAAAATGCAAATGAGCTCAACGGTGGCCTTGACTAATTAGACCAGAGAGCAAAAGAAATCCACCCCTCCCCCTGAAGTCTTGCAAGAGGCAAGGGGCCTGTTAATTAAGAGCGATATTTTTAATTAAGAAAGGGTAGCTCTTTGGACAAGCCCCCCCCTCCTCCCCCCGTTGGCTTTGTCGTTGATAAGTGAGGCTGAAGGAATGGTTCTTATGACCCAGGATTCCCTTCCGTGGCATCGCGGGACCTGCTAAGCCGACAGCAGGCGTAGCGGGGAGTGACGAAATGTGCTAACAAATAGAGAGGGAGGGAGATTTTGTGGGAGAGAGGTAGTTTCCTCACCACCCCTAGTTAGGGAATAAAAGGAGATTAATTTTTTTTTTTCGGCCCCTCCAAAAGTATATAAATGAGAGCTCAGATCGTGAAGTTTCTGCCAACTTGCCAGGAGTTGTGACACTGCTTTGGAGTGGAGAACACTTGCAATTTCTAGATAGGTAACAGTCGTAAGTGTGAAAAATGGTCATAAGTCACTTTTTAAAGTGCCATTGTAACCTTGAATGGTCACTCCACACAAGCAAAGTACCAGCAAAGGAGGGGAAAAAAACTCCAGAGAAGTTCCTGAGACAGGAAGTCTAGTCCTGCCAAGAATGTAATAAGGGTTAATGGAAAGGCAGTTTCTGTCAGCAACACCAGAATGTTTCCTTCCTGCCGTCCTTACAGGATTAGCCCAGTAATTTCTTCTAACAACCGGTTCTTCGAACTGCTTAGAATGTTAACAACCGGTTCTAGCGAATAGGTGCGAACTGGTAGAATCCCACCCCGAGTCTAACTCCCTATCTAGGCAGGAAACACTACACCACTTCAGACAAATGGGTTACCCAACATCTGTTCAAGGTCAGGAAACATTGGGCTGAAAACATCTGAACGGGCCTCCGTACCTGGTTGTCGGGATGGTTGACCGTGAAGTAGCCCACGCAGACAATGACTTCGTGAAGAAGCACTTCGCAGGTGTGGTGGGAACAGTGCCATAGCAAGGAACTGATGATGTGCCGGAAGGCCAGGGAGAGGCCTTCAGCGCCAACCACAGACTGGAGGAAAAAAAAAAAGAGAGAGAGAGAGAAATGTCGTAGATGCCTCTTTCTACAAACATCCAATGGAATCCAAGGGTTTGATGCGAAGTTTTTGCTTTGTTAAAAAAAAAATAGCTTGGTGCCTACTCTCCATTTTTTGAGGAGGGGGGAGCCAATAGCAAGAGGACTTGGTATCTCAGGTGGCATTTAAGAATCCATAAAATTAAGAAAGAGAAGAGAATTCTGTCAACTCCAAAGTCAAGTCAAGTCAAGTCATAACATCTTTATTGTGGTCATAGACCAGCAGAGACTCCTTTCAATATACATGTTCCTCTTTCATCCCAATATTCCCAAAATGGATGGACTGAAAAATCTGCCTTCATATTCTACAAAGGGGCTTCCAACTATCAACTCATAAAACATTCCTATGCCTTTTTTAGTAGTTGCCATTAAAAAAAAAAACAGGTGGGGGGAAGAGAAGAAAGCTGGAAGAACAGTTTGAAAGCGGAAGTACCTTCCAACTCTTCTCTTTAAATGATTGTAACTAAAATACCAGAGTTTCTGCCCAGGAATATCTTTCATTGGAGAACGTTGACCGTCAAGGTGCTTACTTGGAGAATGTGATTTATGACACACCCCGGGGGCCCAGGGTGAAACAGGGTCACAGGGGACTGGAAATTACGTAGGCCAGAGTTGGCTTCGTACAGGGCAGTGCCAGGATGTCGCCTCTAATGAACCCTTTGAAGCTTTTTTGAAGCTTGGCTCGAGAATCATGGTTTCATTAGAGCCGTTGCTGGAATCCCGACATCAACCCCGTAGCTTAATCAGAGCCATTTATTGCTGTTGGAAGGGGCTTCCTCCCTCAAAGCTATTTCCAGTGGGGTGGGAAAAGAAGTATTCATCAAGGACAAAAGCACGCTGAATTTCAGCAATGGGCCTACTAAACAGACAGGCAAATGTTTACGTGTGCACTGAACAGAAGCCAGGATGGATTGACGTTCTCACGTGGCTTGTTTTCATGAAGCCCAAATATACGCAGCTCAAATACACCACTGGGGTCAGTGGTGGGATTCAAATTTTCTTTTTACTACTGGTTCTGTGGGTGTGGCTAGATAGGTGTGGCGTGGCTTGGTGGGCGTGGCAGGGGAGGGGTACTGCAAAATCCCCCTTCCCTCCCCAGCCCACTAACCTGCTTTCCAGCTCCGTTCTCCTGGGCAGGACAACCAAAGAAGACCCAGCCGATCAGCTGTGGGCGTGGCTTGGTGGGTGTGGCATTCTGTGGGCGTGGCTTGGTGGGCGTGGCAGGGGAAGGGTACTGCAAAATCCCCCTTCCCTCCCCACCCCACTAACCTGCTTTCCAGCTCCGTTCTCCTGGGCAGGGCAACCAAAGAAGACCCAGCCGATCAGCTGTGGGCGTGGCTTGGTGGGTGTGGCATTCTGTGGGTGTGGCTTGGTGGGCGTGGCAGGGGAAGGGTACTGCAAAGTCCCCCTCCCCTCCCCAGCCCACTAACCTGCTTTCCAGCTCTGTTCTCCTGGGCAGGGCAACCCAAGAAGACCCAGCTGGGACTCGACGGGAGGCGGAGAATAGATGGGGTTGGCGGGGCCAGTCAGAGGTGGCATTGGCCGGTTCTCTGAACTACTCAAAATTTCCGCTGGCGGTTCTCCAGAACTGATCAGAACCGGCTGAATCCCACCTCTGACTGGTGTTTACTCCTGCCCTTGTCTCTTTTCTTGGGATGGTCCTCCTGCTAGGAGGGACTTCAACTCCCTGGCTGGCAAGGAGCAACCTCCGTGAAGCTGTATATACGCAGATAAGGGCAATATTGTCGCTTGCAATTTCCTATCAGCTCGTGACACCAATAAGACTCATTAACGCCGAAGTTGGCTTCCCGCTGCTTTATAGCTTTTGACACTCTGGTGCAATTGGTCGGTTTCTTGGTCTTTTAGAGCCGGCCGCCCCGGCTCTGCGGCTAAGGGGATTGGCCTGGCTGCTTTATCAACGCCCAATCGAATCCAAGGGGGCACCGCTGACACGACCTCTCCGCCACCATGAGGTTGAACGCGGCTTGATGGATGGGGCGGCAGCTCCCTCTGTAAACTTGCTCCGTCCTTTTCTCTCTCCAGGACTTTGCAAGGGTACCGGGATAGGGTGGGGGGGGAATGCATGCCAGCTCTGCCCCCATTTTTGCACGGCTCCAAATGTATTTCTCCCTCCTTCCCTCCCTCCCTCCCTTCCCCAGGGCCTCCATCACCCACTGGGAAAGAGCAACCCTTTAAAATGTCAATTGTTTGGCAAGATGTAAGCAAACGCGGAGACTCCTGGCTAGCGGAGGGGTTTAATGTGCGTTGGGACGTGGGAGGAGGACGGGGGGGGGGGGGGCAAAAAAAAATCGGGCAGGCAGGTTATACGGCAGAGGGATTTGGGATAAGGCCGGCTTTATCGGTGCAGCCCGGAGCCTCTATTTAATAAACATGTCAGCCAGAAAAAGCGATGCGGGGTCAGAGGGGAGAAGGGAGGCAGGAGGCAGGGACATCAAAGCCTGCCCACTTGGGGGTGGGGGGGACCAGCCCCTTGGTGGGAAAAGCGCCGCCGGAGGGGTGGGGCGCGTGGTTGCCTCCGGGTTGTTTAGTTCGGTTGGACGATGGGTGACAAATGGAGGGAGAAAAGCAGAATCCGGCTAGCCCCAAATCCATCATCTCCCTGGATCCTCCAGGCTGGGGA